TTATTGATTTCAGCGATTTTTGGAAAATTTTGAGTTAGGAGTTGGTATAGGGGATGCAAGGGTGCTGACTATGAATGGATCGGCTTTAACCAAATATGTAGGCAAGTCTGAGATATGGTTGCTCCAGTTATTCGATAAATCATTCGAATATTTATTCGAAGTTCGACTTCCAATGTTCGAATATATTCGATATTCATTCATTCGATATTTTTGATTTTCCGAATTTATTCGGAATTCATTCATTCGAAAATTTTTGAACCTCGAATTTATTCGATATTCGTTTATTCGAAAATTTTCGTTTTCGAATTTATTCGATATTCATTCATTCGAAGAAAAATTTTCGAATTACCCAAGTATACTTCATAGGTTTTGTAGAGTAAGGCTTGCCTTATCAGAACATATCTTAGCCGTACCGATCCATTGAAAGAGCCCCGAGAATTAGGGTCTTGAAAAAACAGGTAAAAGAGCGCTTTTTGAAATTTAACAGCTCACAAGTCCTTCAAAACTGCATGAATCATGCTGCGACTTCATAGATTAGATTCCACTCATCAAGAGTTTTCAGATAATGTAGTCTCAGACAATCGCCGGGGCAGGCGGTCCGTAAACTCGCGCTTTTTTGCAGGCGGTCAACAAAATTTTGAGGCGTGGCCGAACCTATCCTCGATACTCTCAAATACCGATATGAATGAAAGGGGTGCGCGTTTATTGTCGCTTGTAACAAACCGAGAGCTCTTTGGGATCCAAAGTTTACAGGCACCCTGCTGTGCTGCTCAGAGCTGCGCGTGGGCAGTCGTGAATTACAAGGCCTACCCTGCAGCGACGCCGCAACTTTTGTTTGTTATATTCTTTACGAGCAAACCACGTGCTTGTAGTAAAAAGTGTACCATGTGCTACATAGGTGTATTGAATTATTTGATGTTAATGTTTTTTCAAATCTTCTACATGTGGCTCCTCTCGAATTGCAAAATGTAAAAAATGGTTTAAAATATTTACAATTTTGAATGTGGAGTTTAACATGCTCATTATATGTACATATACTCAATTCACGAAAAAAGGTCGCTTTTTTGACCAACGACAAAGCGGAGCTTTTTTCACGTGTGCAAATTTGCGCTTTGAAACTTCAAAAAAAGCAAGTTTGTTATCTTCTTATATATAAAGCTGAATGTCTGTTTATATGCCTGTATGTGTGTATGTCTGTACGTATGTTCCGAATAGAAAATTCCATTTCTGAAACGATCCGAACCAAACTTGGCACCATACACTTCGGAGCCGGGTGGGTGTCATAGGCTTCTTTCACCTTCGTCATCGATCGATATCGATTTTACCGATTTCATCAATTTTTTCGTTTGAGCTACGGGGCTGGGAGCTGGCACAGGGGGTAATCGAGCATGCTGATTACGAGTACAATATTAGTTTGGCCTATTTGGCCATCCGGGTCCCAAATTTTTTTGCCATAGAGCCTGCTCAGACTTCGTGCATAAGGGTTATCTTACATGCTGATTACAGACATCACAGTAGGAAGTCAAAATCATGAATTCGGCTGAAGTTCGGTCCAGGGAACTTATTCGACATGCTGATTACGAATTTCATACTCTCTCTGCATACGGGGACCTTTTCATAGAGTTATAGTGGTTATACGGTACGAGATCGAAAACATAGATTTGCTTTGAACTTCGTCTGGGGTGGTCATTCAACATGAATATCATGCTGATTTCGCAGGATAGGGCATTTTCTGGGTTACGGTGGGTGTACAGTAGAGGGTCGAAGTTCCAGATTTGCTCAAAACCTTACCTGCAACGGCTCACAAGCATACTGCTTATGAATTTGATGCTTGTTCGTTGTCATACCGCATTGTTGTGAAGTTATGGTGAGTTGCAGGGTTCGATTGGACATTTTTTCGCTTGCAGGCACATTTGGATCCCAGATATTTACGAAATGGGGAAAGGTCGTTTTGCATGGCGGTCTCCAGCGCCATTCTGATAATCTGTCTCAAAGCGTAACGCAGGCGGCAAATCTCTCTCCCCTCTCAGACATTCGCACTAAAGTCCCGCCGGAGATCCGCCCACAAAATGAGAAATCGCGAGAAAACCGGGAGTCTTGCGCGACTCCCGGTTTTGTCCCGACTTTCGGGACAATCCCGATAGTCAAAAAGAAGCGGGAGATTATCGGGAGTCGCGATGTCGGTGTACGCGGGTCATTTTGAATGTATGATTGATGAAATTTCTGCACTGCACGACATCCGCATCAGAGTTAGTTTCCTTTATAAAATCTCAACCTTATATGAGTTATGACTCCCTACGCGTATCGTTCTGGAATTGTAGTTCTATTGCACGTCATTATTCATTTGCCGTTCTGCTTTTCCTGTGATAAAAAATCGAGAAATCTTTTAGCCTCACGCGCGCATACTGCGACGAAGACAGCTGAGATCAATCGGCCCCGTCCCGTAGCGATCAATCCAGCGGAAATTAGCCTTGGCGGAGATTTAGTGAATAATTGGATCAAGGAAGAGAAACCTATAGACATTAAAGAGGTGCGTTGCTTATGTTCGCTCTAGAACCAAGTGTGACAAGGAAGTGAACTAGCTTCTGCCTACAACATGATCAAAACAAGAAAGTCTGAAAAAAGCTTCTATTGATTTGTTCGTATCTTCTATATGTAATAAGAGTCTGTCAGTAGATGGCTAATTCCACTATTTCTGCAGTGTTTGAATTTTTAGGAAGCCAATAATGAAGTGAAATTGGATGAAGATATCAAAAATGAGGTTTAAGAAGAAACTCTCGAGTCCAATACGGTCGCGGATTGGGAACCATCAAGGAGAGGACTCGCTCTTCCTTCACCTCCAAAGCACAAAAGAAGGGTAAGAAGAGCTTTTCTTTCATGCTTTCAATAGCAGAAAAGCTTCTTGCAGCATGAACTGGAGGATACATCATCGTCCGGTTCAGAAGTTCGACGAAGAGGACGTTCACCAAATCGCTATCACCAGGAACATGTCAGCACGGTAGGTCTTACTGCTATGCTTTTTTTTTCCAGAAATCTGTGTTTGATTCGTTCAGCATTCGACTGAAAACTACTCCTTCGACTCCTTCGATTGATGGTCTTTCTGAAAATTTTAAAATAGATCTTCCAGATTTCGTTCTTGATGGTGTTGGCCTCTACGCAGAAGAACTGCTACTGAGTGCTACCGAATGCGCGCGGAAAAGAAATAGGTATAGATAGAAGTGTTTCTACCCCTTGATATCTCATTGATTTAGATTTCGGCTGGGCCTAGGGAACGACGATGAGGCTAGGACGAAGATGTTCGACAAGTTGTCGGGGGCGAGGATGAAGTTTAATGGATTAGCACGAGTGGCTATGGGAAGAGCTTTATGGGTTTATTTCAAAGATAGTTTTCATGAATCTATCAAATTTAAAGTTCAGAGGAGATGCGCGAGCATACCATTTTGATGCTGATAAGGAGATGCTGTCGCCACCCTCGGTAATATTCATTTATGATTTCTCAAATCAGTGTTAGATTGTTACTCTTTTCTAGAAAAAACGTTTTTGCCCCACTGCAACGCAAGATTTTTTGGCGCACGAGCACACGAATGAGCCGGAGGAGCAAGACGAAAACATCGAAAATGTGAAGTCGATTTGAATTATGGATTCAATCTCAAATCTTGATCTCAAATTCCTGTTTTTTCTGTTAACTTAGTTATAGTAATTTCAATGTTCTTTTTCGGCCACGAATGCTAATGAAGAGTGTTTCTGAACTCGTGTCAAGCACAGCACCTTTGTAAGATGTGTGTAGTACAATTTTTTGAAGGAGAACCTATTTGAGAAAAGGCCCAGCCGGAAGCTGATTGGAGCGCTGCTATATCGCGTGTCCCGCAGGAGACTGCAGCCTAGAGCGGGAGTCCCGCCGGTGACCGGATCGCGACATTATCGGGACTCCCGCAGAAGCTCCCGGGTTTCTCAGTAGAAAACATGTCAGACAAAACCGCGTGTCACGCAGCATTAGCCCGAACGAAAACCGGGAGTCCCGATTATCTCGCGAACCATTTTACTTGTGTCCCGCAGTCATTCCGGCGGGACACAACTTTTTCACCGGCGGGACTTAACTGCGAATGTCTGAGCAAAAGCCGCCGAAGAATGTATCGCGCGCGGCTGTGGTCCTACAAGGAAAGCATTATGGTCGTGGGAAACTTCTATACCACACGGATTGCCCTTATCGTGGGAACTAAGCAGATATTCTTGAAACCAGCACTTTAGATAATTTTCTGCCAAGATTTCAGGCAAGTTCATGATTTATCCCTCTGCCACTCGAAATGACTACTATATTTGTCATCAGCGGCTCAATAACCTCCATATACGAGTTTAAGCAAGATCCGTCACAAAAACATTTTGGGGCCCGAATAGCCAAACAGCTCCATCAGTTTTTAAAATTTTTGTTGTTTCAGCCTTCAGAATTTTTGTTGTTTCAGAAAGTTTCAGCTGCGGGGCTGGGGGTTGTTGAGGGAGATAGGTGAGCATGCTGATTACTAACCCAGCGGATATAGGGAATTGCATCTAGAAGTCTGCACAGGGAAAGTTGCACAAGGATAGAAAAGGGACCTTTATGTTTTTGACAAAGCCGTGCGGAGCCGGGTAAGCCAGCTAGTATACCATATTTGCTGCATCGAATTGTTGTCAAAATCATTTTGTTGGATGGTAAAATTGTTTTGCATAAGTTTTTTTCATGAGGATCTCAAGTATTTTATTGCTTTTGAGAACTGAATTTGAGAAACGATGGGATGAAATCAGTGGTGACATGTGCTAGATTCCAAGATGAACAAAACGTGACGTGTGCGGGAATATGGCACTCCCAGTTGTGCAAACGGGCCAATAATTCATTTTATCTCAATACTCGCCAGCTGAAAACCTTTTTTTAATACGAGGATTTTCTGCGCTTCCTCCAGTTTTTATTTTGATAAACAAAGTTTTTCGTGTGGTAAAAGTGTAAGTTGTTATAGCTAAAAACCAGCCTAGGGAAAGTGTGATGGAAATAAGGAGTTTGGAGTTGAGCGACCGCAACTTCTGAAAGCACCAATTTTCCTAGTTCAAAACAGCTTCGAGATATGGAGGAACGATGCATGATGCAGTTACAGTAAGCTTACGCAAAGAGTTGCTTTCTGGAGCGTATTGTACTGCATAAACATCGGCTGGGTTGAAGGATACGAAACGGTCTGAAACCATCCTTAATTGTTTGAAGAAGTCGTCGATTTGCCATCTAACTATTTTTTCCCATATTTTACTAAACGAATCCGTGTCGTGCACATCCAACTAAATTAGCGAATACGAATCTGCAAATAATCAGTGGTAGATGTCTGCTTACATCGCGGTAATGCTTGTCGAGCATTTCTGTATCTAGAACCAATTTCGGGTAAGCTATCTCAGCAAGCATTTTATCCAACTTATTCAAAGCTTCCTGTAGCATGATGTTCGGCGCATATTCATTCAGTCTTCAGCTTACATCTTTAGTTTCATCATCAATCCAGTAGCTGGTGTTGAGGTTCTTGCCAAACTCTTTCTTAAGGTTCTCGAAAATTTCCAGTACCTCCTCCTTCGTAGTCTAAATTAACAGACTAAATCACAAAATTCTTGAATCGTTTCTGAACCTCATGCAGTTTTTTCTTTACGTATAACGCTGTTGTTGCATAATCCATATGATCCATAGCGGTCTGAGTGCAAAACTCCCATCGTTGTGTTTTTCGCTGCTGCCCATATATGACTTTTTTGAATTCCTGAATTCGAATTTTGTACTTCAAAACATCTTTAACTCAGAAAAGGTTGATATGAGTTGCACTTGACAATTCCAAAAAGCTTGAAACTTATTAGTCCACCTGTTCAATGTCTTCATATATTTCTCCCATTTCTCCTGACCAGTCTCGAGAAAACCTCATGAAAATATAGTTAGTGATTATACGGGGATCCATTGATTGCAGAAGTTTGTTTACACTAAATTTACATGCTTTGAAACTTCTTGTTGAATGAGCAGTGAAAACGAGGATTGTCCAGAGCTAACCTTTTTATATAATCGACATCGTTTATGAAAATTTCTGGATCTGAAGCAAAATAATGGGAAGCGGAAGGAGCTACAGCACGGAAGAATTGCTGCCAATTGACCTAAGAATAGTATACATAACTGCCAATTTTGTAGAAACCGAAAATTCTGGAACTCACGGATGGCATAAATTTTTGCATATCGCTCAAATGAAAATCACGCAAGGTTTCTGTGTCATTTATATCCGCGTCCATGATCTCCGCCATTCTCATCTCCAGATCAATGATTTCATCTACGTCTTTTTCAATTTTTGATACATTAATAGGCATTCCACCATCCTTTTGAATTTGCTCAATCTTAATCATTCCAAGATTGTGAAGACGCCTGTTGGCTTGTTTAGGAGAAAGAATATCACCTGACTAGTAAGAAACTGTTTCAGCGCTCCAATTCGAGTTCCATTCTTTTCTTCATCCAGGTACTTGTAATATATTCCGCCCAAGAGAACTGGATCTCGATCGAACTGTGAGATAGAACCGTTAACAGCAAGTAATCATGACCCTGCTCCCTACACAAGTAGTCCTGTGTTCGAGCTACATGAAATGGGTTTCGACAATGCTGGATCAGCTCAAGAATCGTTTCGCTCTGTTTCTCATTTCGACTGTGCTACTAGGCACCATTAACAAATCGACTGCTTTCAACCTAGCTGCTCCGATGTAAATCTATACATATTAGGTTGTCCCATAAGGCTTTTCATGCTGTAATAAGTCATACACTTATTATTCTAAATAGATACCAGGATGCCGTTCGATAAAGCAAAGCAAGCTTCATAAGATGGCGTTTATGCTTTCTTTCGCATCCGAAAGCATAAACACCATCTTATAAAAAATTTTAGTCCATCTCAAGTTTGAAACCAAAGTCTAAAAAGTTTCGGATACCCAAAATTGAATTTATATCCTTGTTCAAAAAGGTCCTACAGATCTCTCACTTGCTCACGCATATAAACTCCACATCAAGCAAAATATCAATCGCTCACAAAATAAAGCGATAGCACCCATACGTGCTAACGCTTTATTTTTTTATTAGCTAGGAATCAAGAAAACGACAATTTTCATATTTTTACCAAAGTGATGATGTGCTGTTCTTACGCTAACAGTTGCATACTACACCAGTAGAAGTAAAACCGTAAATCAGCTCTCCATAAGCTCTAGTCTCCGATGTTGAATGATGAATTAAGCCCTAGTGAAGAAAGCTAAATGCGATACTTCTCGGGAACTAGAGCACACAAAGAGCTAAGAATCTGCGGTTGTACTTCTAAACTCTTGTAGTATACAAGTACCAATGTAAGAACTACTGCACCACTTCGGTAAAATCTTTGAAATTCTCGTTTTTTTTCTAGCTAATAAAAAAATACAGCAACAGCCGCGAGCGAGTGAGAGGTCTGCAGGAGTTTTTTGAACGAAAATATAAAAGATTTTTATTTTTTTGGGTATTCGAAACTTTTTAGACTTTAAACTTGAGGTGAATCGAAGTTAGTGCAAAACATAAACGCTTTTTTATAAAACTTGCTTTGCTCTATCGAAAGGTATCCTGATGTCTATATAGAATAAGATGTGACTAATTACAGCGAAAGTGCAAAAATGAAAAGACTTAAAGGACAACCTGATACATGAAACAAAATTTGTGAGTAAATTTGCTTCCGCGAAGTATGTGTCGAATAGAAATCTTTTTGAATGACAATCAGGAAATGGCATGGCGGGAGTCCGCTTCGCTAGCGTTTTTCGTCACGCCATCACGCCTGCTTGTCTGCTCTCTCTTCAATCTCTTCGGTCTCAGTGCGCATATGCGGCGCGAACCCTTAGCCTTGCAAGCGCGCAATCCACCTCAACGGCTCAAACTAATCCCGGTTGGGGCAGAATGTATGTTTCCAACTCCTGCGCACACGATGGGCTACTTTTTGCGGCGACTCCCTTAGTCCTTTTATCGATTTGTTATTTTGTTCACTCATATTGAGGGGAATGAAGGCTTAATAATCATTATCAGGTTGATTTCAAATAATCATGTCGAGCGATAGATCTCACTTTCGCAGTGATAAAGATGCCCCCCCCCCCCACAATGGTGGCCGCCTCATTGGGGCGTGGGGGTGACACTGGGTGTCGAACTGCGATGCACTGCCGAGTGTATAGTGGCAGGGCTTCCCAAGCTGAAAAGGTGTTATCCCGCCTACGGCGCCGGGTGGTAGCGAGAAGATGTCAGGGTCCTCAGGGCGCCTTTTGGATTGGGCAAAAACGACACGTCTGTCCGGACGACACGCCATGGAGACTGCCTCATGTTCTGCACCTAACACCAGGACAGTCTCCACAAACGCCGACTTCCACGCTCTTCTCGACGCTGCGGAGCCCATCAAGTACCACATCACCGCTCTGCATGAAACGAAGGCCAGGAAGAAGGACGTACGACAGATGAGTGATGGGACCCTCATCATTCGTAGTGAAAAGGTTTCATCACAAAACGTGGGAGGCTCTGTCGTCCACTCATCCATCTTGTTGATTCGCACGAGATCCTATCACCTCGACTAGCCATCATACGACTACGCCCTCCACGTCAGAAGACCACCAGCATTATCAACTGCTACTCTCCAACATCAGCAGCTGACGACTCAGAACTAGATGCTTTCTACGAAGACGTGGAGGAGGTCGTCCGCAACGAAAAGTTTCTACAAGTACGTTGTAGGCGACTTCAATGTAAAAATCGGGATGCCACTAGAAAAGAAATATAGGATCGGGAAGTTTGGATATGGGCTCGTTCCGTTGGGCTCCGAAACGAAGATGGCAACCGTTTCGTTGGGCTTCCCTACGCCGCACGACTTTTTCATGGAAATTCCATCTTCATGAAGGAACATCGCCGGTGGACATGGGAATCGCCCAACGGAACGACTCACGCGGAGATCGACCACATTCTCACCAACCGAAGATGGAGCTTGCTCATGTCTCAGTAGTTCCGTCCTTCTGCAGTGGCTCCGATCACCGCCTCCTTCGAGCGAAGATACGCCTCAGCCGAAGGATGGAACAGAAAGTCTGTCACAGTGCCGCGATAAGGAAGGAAGTCGTTTATGACGGTAACAGGCTGGAAGAGCTTATATCAAGATGTGACTGGCCCATCGAAGAGGACTACGACTACGACCGGCTTCTAAAAGGATTGCGAGCCTGCGGAGAGTGCCCCTCAGGGACTTCTGAGATGAACTTGGAACGTATTCGAAGACCACTAAGGATTTGCTCGAAAGAAGAAGATTTCTGAGGCAGGATCCGAACTCAATCCATCTCGAGCGACTTATAGCCAATGCCAGTTGCAGAACAACTTTGCAGGAGAATCTCAGGAAGTACAGGCAAGCCAAGATACTAGAAGCAGTCGAAGAAAGACGAAGTCTCAAGAAATGCCGAAGGGACCTCTGTGAATATCACGTACCGCTGACTGCACTATTGAACGAAGACAAGACTCCGACTTCTTCCCGATACAAGATGGAATCTATCGCGAAGAACTTCTGCACCAACCTCTTCCGCTCATCAACATCCGTGCCGATGTCCGTTGTTTCCGCTGAAGAAGTTCTACCTGCTGAAGTGCGCACGGCGGTTTAGACCATGAAGACATCCACGGCTCCAGGACAAGACCATCTTTCCGTCGAATTTCTGCGAGCCGCAGAACAACGTCTGCAACAGTTCTACAACCTCTCATGAAGATTCTCGCGCCGCACCTGACATCTTACCTTCAGAAGGAGAGGATTCCCGACCAGCGGAGAACGTCAAGAACCGTCCTTCTCTTCAAGAAGGGTGAACGGGATCTGGAACTATCGTTCAATATGCCTGTTGAGTGTGCGTGCAAGCTTTTCACGAAGATTATTCTCACTCGCATATTTAGGACACTGGAAGAAGCCCAATCCCAAGAACAAGCTGGATTTCGCAAAGGACTCAGCTGCATGGATCATATAGAGACCGTTTCGAGGGTCACAGAAGTCTGCCGGGAGTACCGACTGCCTCTCGTCCTAACCTTTGTCGACTACGACAAAGCCTTCGACAGCGTCGAAACGAACGCCATCCTGTCAGCGTTAGTCGATCAACGAATGGACCTAGCTTACGTGAGGACACACTGCTACAAGGATTCTACAACAACGATGCAGCTATTACATCGGCCCCCTGATCACTCCAGTTGAGGAAGTTCGAACAAGGCGACACAATCTCGCCGGAGCTGTTCACCGCGGCCTTGGAGTGGGCGATGAAATCACTGGACTGGAACGAGAGAGGCATATGAGTTTATGAAAGCCGTCAAACCTTCGTTTTGCGGAATTCATCTCTTCTCGAGCAGTATCACTGAAGCAGAGACGATGCTGAAGGAACTGAAAAAGTAGGGAAGAAGATCGGACTGCGAATAAATTGGAAGAAGACTCAGTTCATGAAGAACGCCCTTTGCGAAGATGCAGAAATGGAGTTAGAAGGCACTCCTATTATGGAGACGTCTTCTTACGTGTATCTCGGACGTTCGATGAACATGGAGAAAAGGAAAGAACTTAACAGAAGGAGAAGAGCAGCCTGGGCCGCCTTCGAGCCTCTGATGGAAGCCACCGACAACTGAGACCCGGAGCTTCGTACGCACCTGTTCGACTCAACTGTTCTCCCGGCGCTCTGTTACGCAGCTGAGACTTGGGCCAATACTGTAGCCACGTCGAAAGCTTCAGGGACCACCCACAGAGCGCTCAACGCAGTCTTCTGAAGATGACCCGACACAAGCAACATCTAGTCGGACTCGCAGTATAAATATGAGAAGATTGCCCCGTCTTCGTGACCCAGCGGATTACGTTGCGAAAGCGTGACACCGATGGGCCGGTCACATCATGAGAAGAACAGACGATAGATGGGCACTAAGAACATCCGAGTGGATTCCTCAGGAAGCCAAACGTCCCTAAGGAATCCACTGGATGTTCTTAGTGTCCATCTATCGTCCGAGGGAGACCACCAACGAAATGGGCAGATGTGTTCCTGGAACGGATAGACCAGCTGAGAAATCGGTTGGATACGACTTTCGCCCCTGGAACTCGTGGACGCAGCCACCGACGACGACTAACAATAAGAAGATCGTGGATATCTGAAGCGAGGGACAGGGATCACTGACAACTTCTGTACTGGGTCCCGCACGTCACGTGAAGACAGGCTATCTAAGTATCTTGTAAGTAAGTAGATAAGGATGCGGTTTCGCAGCGGGGTTAGGAAGTCCACCACAGAAGCGCTGCCGCCCGGATTACGAACAGGAGTAGATTAAGAAAAGGGTGGGTTGAAGGAAAAAGGAAATAAAGGTAGGGTGAGTCTTTACGTTGTTCAAATCTAAATGGGTATTATGTGACCTTCGTCAGGCTCACGGTCTAAGCCGACCGGTAAAGCCAGCTAGTACAAATAAGTTTGGTGCAAAGTTTTTTTTCCATTTTTCCATTTACCCCCGAATTTTCAAAGTCAAGGAAAACAGTTACTTCGAGTT